GATCTGCGGTGCGAACCGGAGGTCGTAAAAACCGGGGGACCCAATCAGGCGACTGGCCGGGGCGGCCCCGGGGGCAGCGGGGCGGCGGGGTGGTGGGTCGACGGGGCACGGACCAGTGTGGCGGGCATTAATCGGACACGTTAGTTTGGGCTGCAAAGTCCGCAAACAGAGCCAGGCCCAATCGATTCCTCGTTGGAAGGCCGGTCCATCGGTACCGCCATGTGCTTCATTGGAGTGCTTTCCATGACCTGGACCCGACGCGGCCGTTCGTTTGACAGTGTGCGCGCCACGCCACCGCGCCACTGCGCCGCAGTGCATCTGCCCTCATGGTGACCCTCATGGCGCCGCAGTCCGCAGTCGTGCAAAATGCATGCCGACCTAAAGACCCCGGGCCTGGCCGCCCCGCTCCGGCCGGGCCGCCCTACTGCGGCCGCCAAGGACAAGGCCAAGATTGTGTACCTGCATGCACGGATTCTGCTCCCACTTCCCCCCTGGCCCCCTGGGTGCCCCCTTAGTCAAAGGGCCCATGCAAGACTAATGCTCTAGTTTCTTTCCCGACGCGGAGTCCCTAACGGAGTCCATGACGGAGTCAACGACGGAGTCCATGAGTACAGAGTCCATGATGGAGTCCATGATGACAGAGTTCATCGCGGGAGTCCATGACGCAGTACATGACGGAGTCCACGGAGGAGTCCGTGACAGCGTCCAGGACGAAGTCCATGATGACAGAGTCCATGATGACAGAGTCCATGATGGAGTCCATGATGGAGTCCATGACAGAGTCCATGACAGAGTTCATGACGGAGTCCATGACGGAGTCCATGACGGAGTCCATGACAGAGTCCATGACAGAGTCCATGACAGAGTCCATGACGGAGTCCATGACGGAGTCCACGACAGAATCCATGACAGAGTCCATGACGGAGTCATGACAGAGTCCATGACGGAGTCATGACAGAGTCCATGACAGGGTCGGCCCCGGCCGGTTCATGCAATGTGGCTAAGCGTCGCTACGCCATGCCCCGCCATGCTGTGCTACGCTAGGCGTGCGTTACCTGGCCGTCGCCGCGGTTACCGTGGCAACGAGCCCCTTGGAGGACGCCCGGCTCACCTGCTGCAAAAGGAACGACACACATCAGAAACAGGCTCCACGTACGCCGCCTGGAAAGAACGAAATCGGAGAACAGAATGCTGAGGGAAAAGGGTCCGTTTGTCAGGCGGGGGCGGCCGCTTGTGGGTACGATGCCCGTCACGCCACGGTAGCCGGGCCGTAGCGGCGCAGCGGCCGGAGGAGCGGAGGACCGCAGCCAGTACAGTATTTCCCCCCGTCGGTCCCCACTGTCCACACGCGCGCCGCCGCAACGCAATTGCCAGAAAAACCTTGCTTTCCCCGTTTCCTCGGTTTCCTCGGTGCGCCGGGCCGTTGCCGGGCCGTTGCCGGCTGGGCTGCCTGCTGCGCGGAGCCTTGGCGGAGCCTTGCCTCCCCCGAGAGGTTCGGCGCTGACAGGCTGCAATACTGCGGCTGCTGCACGAGTTGGCGCTCTTGCCGTGCGGGCCGCGCGGGCCGCGCCGGTCTTGTTGGGCTGTGACGTATTTACGACTTGCTGGGGAGCTGCTGCCCCGGCCATGCCCCGGCCATGCCCCGGCCATGCCTGCCCCGCGCGGCCACCCCGCTCCCCCCGCCCTTATTCTGTTGTAATCCCGATCCACTCCCGGCCTGCATCATTCAGCGAAGCCGGAGCTCTCACACACTTCAGCCAAGTCACGGCTGCGGCGGCGTCCCTTCGTTTTAGATTGTGCAGCCACAATTTATCTACAGTGCACCGGTCAATGTTTTAAAACAATGCGGCGCGAACATGACCGCCCGGCCGTTTTTTGCCTCCTTGTCTGAGGGCCCGGGGGCCGTGGGCCGCGCGAGGCTCCGCGCCACGCCACCTGGTGCGGCCGAAGTTTGACGCCCTGCCAGGCCTGCCAGGCCTGCCACCCCTGCCAGCCTCGCCGACGTGGCGGATGGATACCGGGAGACGTCGGAAGGGTGCGCCCCGGGGAGTCCTGCTCCTTTTCTCGGCAGGCAAAAGAGGATCAGGTCGCAACAAATCCCTTCCCGCGGCCACGCCGTGCTACGCCGCCCCCACGCCGTGCTACGCCGCCCCCACGCCGCCCCCACGCCGCCCCCACGCCGCCCCCACGCCGCCCCCGGGCCATCGGATTCGCACCCCTTATTGGAAGGCAGGCCGGTCTTTTTGAAGTCGCCGCGGAGGCAGAGCGGGCCCTGGCCGTCTAGGCCCAGGATGCCGTCTAGGCCGGCTGGAAAAACGTACATGCTAAAAACAGAAACAAAACAAAACACACCACGGGACGCGCGAAAAGCCATCGCGCCGCGCGCGCATGTGCAAGCGGCGTGCAAGCGCGCTGCTCGCTGGCAAAATATTGCTGTTGATCGTCAGGTTTTGTGGGTCTTTTGCTCCGAAATAACAATAACCGTGAAAGGCAACGTGACTATCGCGGGGCGTGTTTCACTCCGTAACGGCGGCGACGCCAAGGCGACGCCCCCGCAATACTCTTTCTGCAACTTGAAGCTGGCGGAGCTAGCGGAGCTGGCGATAAGGGCATCCTGAGCCATATTTTGCCTGGGGCCTCGGCTCGGCTCGGTTCGGCTCGGCTCGGCTCGGCTGGGCGTGCCATTGCTCGACCTGCTGTAAGTACATGGAGAGGAGACACACCCTTGGCCCCTGCATGCGAACCAGCATAAATTTGAGGGGCGTAAGGCAAAGGCAGAGGCCTCGAAGCGAGAGGGAGGAGGATGGAGCGTGCTGCTCGTCCTTGTCCCGCGTGCGTGTCGCGTGCGTGTCCCGTGCGTGTCCCGTGCGTGTCCCGTGCGTGTCGCGTGCGTGTCCCGTGCGTGTCCCGTGCGTGTCGCGTGCGTGTCGCGTGCGTGTCGCGTGCGTGTCCCGTGCGTGTCCCGTGCGTGTCGCGTGCGTGTCGCGTGCGTGTCGCGTGCGTGTCGCGTGCGTGTCGCGTGCGTGTCGCGTGCGTGTCGCGTGCGTGTCGCGTGCGTGTCGCGTGCGTGTCGCGTGCGTGTCGCGTGTCGCGTGTCGCGTGCGTGTCGTGTGCGTGTCGCGTGGGGCAGCCGCGCTGACATTCATTAAAGGCCCGTCGGCTCGCTCCGCACGACATTGTCTGCAAAAACACACAAAAAGAAAGCCGGCTGCACCTGCTGCGCTTCGCCCATATAGCGGTTTGCGGGGCAAGCGTGTGGACATCGGCCCGGGAATGGAAAACAAATAAATTAAAGCAAGAACGCAAGAAAGATGAAAAATAAAAGCAAACGGAATGGCCATCCAAATGTCACGTAATACTCGGGCGACTGCACACATGTGCGCCGCACGCCGCGATGAAACAAAAAGCCAGTCTGGCCCGGGCCGGGCTGGGGCCGCCGGGGCGGCCGCGGCCTCTCATATTGGAAACCGAACCTGAATGTGGAGGCAATGTCGCGGAAGATCACGCTCCCATTGCGTTTCGCTTTCGCTTGCTTTGGCGGGCCGCTCTCGCCGGGCCGCGGCCGGGCCGTGCGTTTGCCTGGCGAATAACCGAACCGGACTTCTGTTAACAAACTTTGCGTCGTGTGGCGTCCCGCCAAAAAGTTGGCCTCCCAGGAAGAGCCGTATGCATAACGCATGAGTCGAGGAGCCCCCCTCCCCCTCCCCGGACCGCCACTGCCCGCCGCCAGAACATCCAACCCCATCTTCCGCGGCTGCCGCGGCGTGGTCGAGTCCGACGGCAGCAACACGAGGAGGGCGATGAGGGGGACAGCGGCCCTGCGCGGCCCAGCGGGTCGAAGGGGCATGAAAACGATCGCACAGGTGTAATGGAATAGGGTCCGTGGCGCGCCCCGGCCGTCGCCCCGCCGCCCCGCCGCGTCCACGCAGGCCGTGCTTATGGATGAGCGCGGCCGGAGCAGCCGACCGGAGCCATCGGTGGGCTGGGGCAGGCTGGGGTGGGGCGGGGACTGGGGGCGCGTGCCCGACCGGGTTGCTGCGGATCCACGTGGAAATCTTTCCCCGGCAAGCCAGGCAAGCGCACCGGCGGGGAAGAGAAATATGGCAGCCGGCGATACACTGGCGAGGCACGGCACGGCAGGGTACCCGCCCTGGCCCGCAGCGCGCGCAGCAGCGTCCCCCTCCACCGGACCCTGCACGCCTCGATGCAGATTTGAATACCCTTGGCGCACGGCGCGGCCCTGGTCCTCCATGTCTTCCAGGATCCCGTCCAGGACAGAGTCCAGGATCAAGGCCAAGGCCTACCCCGGCGGGGCGGCCCGCTTGCCAAATCCCGCAGGGGGTCCGCCACACTCGTTTCAGATCCCACTTACTGCAGATCCCGCCCCCCGGCCCCGCCAGCCCCGCCAGGGCGGCCAGGACCCCTCCCTCTCCCAGGGCCCCGTCCCCCGCCTGCTGCGGGTCCCAAGTCCCAGTCGAGGGGATCCACTAGCCGCAATGGCCGTTCGCACCGCCCGGCGCCGCCCCGCCTCGCGCCGCGGTCCGGCTCGTAAGTGGGGTGGGTCGCCGGGGGCCGTCCAAGGCGATGAGCGTGACCGGGGCGCCGAGCAGCGCGCCAGCACGCCACTTGGATGACGGCGGCGGCCCCGCCTGCCGCGCCAGCGAGGAGATTTCCCTAGGAAGGCGCCGCGTCCGCGGCGGACAGCCCCCCACCCCCTCCCCATCTGCAGTGGGAAACATCAGAGCGAGCCGCGCAGCGAATTCGCAAGACGCGCACCGCCAGGCACCGCCAGGCACACCGGAGAAATGGAACGCTGTGCGAGCCGAGCCGCGGGGATGAGGCGCTTCTGCGTGCGCCGAGATAGTGCGGCAGAGGCGCGCTACGAATTTAGTGCTTCAGCGCGCCACTTCCTTGTCCGAGCCGCCACTTCATCAGCCGCGTGGTTCGAATACGGCCGCCGCGGGAAAAGAGACCTTTTTTCTCTTCTTTTTGTGACTCACCTTCCTCCGGGTGAAACTGCCTCTTGATGTAGTTGATGAGCCTGACGGTGAGTGACTGGTGGTGCCTGGAGCGCCTTCGACGCCGCGCCCCGTCCTCGGCGGCGTTCTCGGCCTGCCCTTCCCCCGCCGCCTCGCCCGAGGTCTCCCCATCCTGCTGCTGCTGCTGTTGGATCTGCTGCTGCTGCTGCTGTTGCTGCTGCTGCTGCCGCTTGGGTTGCCGCCGCTCTCCTCGGTAGCTCTGGTGCCCCCCGACCACACTGTACATGTCTGCGCCACCTCACCCATGGGCAGTCAACCTGCAACAGCAAAAACCACCAATTTTAGAACTTTTTAGACCTTTTAGACCTTTTCCAAGAGACAGTGCGACGGTAGAGGACAGTGTAGGCGGCGGACCCGCCGCGGCGAGCAGGGTGCGCGGAACGACCGGAACAATTTTGGGTCGGCCTTCGCGGGTCTTTCATATCAGGCGGCGATTTACGCATTGTCAGGCACGTCGTCGCCTGGCGCGTCCCTCGCGGTTCACTCGTAATCCACTGGCCATGAGCGGGAGGGTCACCTCGTTGGCGGCGAGGCGAGGCGCGCAGCCCACCACGCGCCACGCCACGCCATCGCCAGCGGCACGACCAGGAACAATGGGCGGCCCAGCGGGCTCACACCACGCAGCGCCGCCATTCGCCACACTACGCCAAGCCACTACGGCACCTCGTTCCGAGGTTATTCGTCGCGGTGGCGGTGCGCGTTTCCAAGAGTGTGCATAGCGGCGAAGTAGAACAAAAACAGTGTGGAAAACTCGGCAACAAGTACACGATAGACGTGTCGACACCGAGAGCCTTTCTGTGTATCGCCGCCGAGCCACCCCGCCAGCCCAGCGGGGCCGATCAGGGCACGCCACCAAGCCACCCCGCCGCCCACGGGGGCGGGACACACCACAGCCGCCACGCCACGCCAGGCCAGGCCACGCCGCCACGCCACACTACGCCAAGCCACTACGGCACCTCGTTCCGAGAGGTTATTCGTCGCGGTGGCGGTGCGCGTTTCCAAGAGTGTGCATAGCGGCGAAATAGAACAAAAACAGTGTGGAAATAACTCGGCAACAAAAGTTACACGATAGACGTGTCGACACCGAGAGCCTTTCTGTGTATCGCCGCCGCGCCACCCCCGGCTCAGCCTCGGCGTGTGGCTCGACTCGACGGAAGCGCGCCACACACACAGACAACACTCTCCGTCACACGGACACACAACCGGCGGCGGCAGCACACCACATCCACCAATGTCAGCGGCGATGTTACAGTGTCAGGCCAGAATTGGGCTGTTCGCAAAAACAGCATCCCCGGCGCTCATTCCTCGCCAAGTCGCCACCTCGTTTGCGTGTTTGCGTGTTTTGTTGTTGTTGTTTTTGATGTTGCTGCTGCTGCCCGTGCCGCGCCGTGCCCCGCCGTTGCGCAACCAAGTAGTTAAGGCAACTCTCTATGCACGTGCTGCCGCGCTGCCGCGCTCTGCAAGGTGCACGTGTACACTCTACACACACCAACAGTCACCACACGCACACACACACACACACACAAACATACCAACACACACACACACACACACACACACACACACACACACACACACACACACACACAACCACGCCCACTCGCTTTACGGCGGAGACTTCCCCCTCGCGGTCGCCTGGACGAGCCCCTTGAAGGAGATGACGACGTCAAGGGTCAAGTGGGTGAGCCGCGTGAGAGAGAGCGAGCGAGAGAGAGAGAGAGAGAGAGAGAGAGAGAGAGAGAGAGAGAGAGAGAGAGAGAGAGAGAGAGAGAGAGAGAGAGAGAGAGAGAGAGAGAGAGAGAGACGGACGGACGCAAGCAGGCCAAGCAGGCCGAGTCTTAACGCCACAAACACGTCTGTAATGACCTATTAATATTACATGCCCCAACAGCCCGGAGGTCTGGAGGTCTGGAGGCCTGGAGGCCGCCCCTGCAAGCCCCTCCATGCTGGCCAGAGCCCCCAGAGGCCCCCAGACGCCGCGTGCCCGCCCTGGCCGCCCTGGCCGCCCTGCCCGGCCGGCGCTAACCACGCCCAGCCTCAAGGAGCCGGGGCAGCCGGGGCCCCGAGGAGCGGCACGGCACGGCAAGGCATTAAGAGCCTTGAGGAATGCGGCCTGGCCAGGAGAGGATTCCGAAACGCGCCTCTGTCTCTCTCGCCCCCACACGCCGCGCCCCACGAGAGCGAGAGAGACAGAGTGCTCGCAATCGGCTTGCACGCGTGTTGCCTGTGGTGCCTGTGGCCAATCGAACGGCGGGGCATGTTGGGATCGTTCCCGTCCGCGGATGCAGGGGTAGCGCGAGGGGGAGAGAGAGAGAGAGAGAGAGAGAGAGAGAGAGAGAGAGAGAGAGAGAGAGAGAGAGAGAGAGAGAGAGAGAGAGAGAGAGAGAGAGAGAGAGAGAGAGAAAGGCAGTGAGAGGGAGAGAGACAGACAGACAGGACCGTCCAAACGGCCCCCGCTCACGCACACGCCGCGCAGCGCGCAGCAAAACCAGCAGCAGCTGTGTCAGTTAAAGGAAAGCTCCGAAGCGGTCCGGTTGGTCCGGATCCACCCAACAAGCAATTTACGATACTTTCCCGATCACATTCTTCCCCGAGTCGGCGGCCCAGCCGCTCCTCCGCCGCACACACTCGCTCACTCACGCACACCGACACGCACACACATTACACCCACGTCACCCCCTGTCCGTGAGCAGCGCGCAGAAATGCCGCAGTATAAGGCTCTCGTGCTCTCGTGTGGATCTGGAAGAGAAGACGTTGGCGCCTGCCTGACCGCCGGACCCACCCCACCCACCCCGCCCCGCCCTGCCCCGCCCCGCTAGGTCACACCCTAGTCGGGCCTGTCTGTGTGACTGGCGGGGCTGGCGGGGCTGGCGGGGCTGGCGGGGCTGGCCTGGCCGCCAAGCCAAGCCAAGCCGGTGGCTCCACAGCAGCTTACGCCTCGGAATCTCGGCCCTTTCCTTTAAGACCTCGTTACTGGGCGTGTCGTATGGATCCACTTTCTGTCCCCACCCGCCCCTCTTCCGGTCTTCCGGTGGCCGCCGGCCGATCCACGAAAAAAAGAGGGAAAAAAAGAGAGAAGCCCTATAAAGAAATAACGAAGGAAACGAAAAAAACAAACTGTGAAGTAGATAAGGAGCCGAAACGACGGGGCTTCTCCGTCTCATGTGCACAACAAAGCTGGCAGTGATATTTGGATGAGGCTCCCACTGGGTCACACACACAAACAGCGTTGATATTGTCCCCAACAATAGGCGATGCGATGGGCATCGGGCCGACGGCGGCCGACGGCCGACGGGCACCGAAGGGCCGACCGAAAGGGAGAGGAAATAAATATTGGAGGCTGCATGCGCGTCTTCGTTTCTCGTTTCTCGGTTGATGAAGAAAAACTCGCCGCGTCTCTTTTCCCCCTTTTTTTGGTGAGTGGCGGGGTGGATTCCCATTCCCGGGCGTTCTTGGAGATGGGACGGCGGGGCGCGAAGGAGACTGGCCTGATTAGCGACAAAGGGGCTCGACGACGAAGCACGCTGACACATGTCTCTCTCGCACCCGTACGGGGCGCCCCATGAGTGCGAGAGAGACAACGAGACCACTGTTCAGAATCAGCCTGCAGCCGGGCACGCTGCGCCGCCCAGCCCAAGCCCAGCCGCCCGGCCAGTTATGTAGAGCATCTAATTTGGAGGATTGCCGGGCCCGGCCGCGGCCCGCCGCCCGATGAGCGAACTTGTGCGATTCAGCCTCGAAGGCACACTAACTTGCCAGCCGGCCTGTGCAGTGTGCCAGCGTGGCCGGCGCGCGCGGCCCGCTCAGCGCTCTCGCCGCCCTCATCTCAAAATAAATAATACATCGCTACTCTTTCTTGCGGTGCTGGGAAATTGTGCGCGGGTCCGACAACGGCGATCCTCCACAGCAGCGCCGGGCTTTTCCGCGAGAGTTTTCCTTGACGCCGGCCTTTCTCATCACGTCGCCGAGCGTGTCCACGAAGAGGAGCCGCGGCGGTCGCGTCGTCGCCCGCGGCGGCGGCAGCCCGGGCAGCAGGCAACGCGGCCGCAGTGCTGCCGTGCGGGCGGCCCGCCCTCGCCGAGGCAGGCGCTACCGCCACCACACCGCCAGTGCCGAGCCCGCCGAGCACGCCCCGCACGCACACTGCAAGCATGTAGTTGCATCTCGCCTTTTGATTAACCTTGCTCGTCCTTGCTCTCGTTCTACTTTGTTGTTGTTTCCGGTTGTTGTTGTTGTTGTTGTTGTTGTTGTTGCGGCTGCGGGTCCTCCCCCACGTGGCGCTGGGACGCCCCGTTAGTTTGTGCCGCGCTGCCGCCCCACCGACCCTAATCGTGGGAACGTGTCGAATCGTTCCGCTGCGACGCGGAGTCGGTGGAGGGGGAGGGGGAGGACAGGCAGCAGGGAGCGGGGCCAGCAACAAGCAGTGCCCCAGCCAGCCAGCCCGCCGCCAACGGCTCCGTGATTGCGATCAACTTCCGCAGGTTTGGCGGCGCGCCTCTCCGCCGCTCTGCCTCGCTCCTCCTGATGCTACCCTGAGCGGGCCGATTCCGAAAGCGTCGCTCTGTCTCTGTCGCACCCGTGCGACGCGTCAACGTGTCCCGTCGGCGTGCGAGAGAGACAGCCCACCGAAACAGAAGCTGGCGATGAACGGGCGTCGCGCGGCCTCGGCAGTGACCCACTTGTTTTTGTTCCCTGCACTTGGCACCCAATCATGCAATCTGTTGCGGCCCGGCCGAGGGCTGCCGGGGCCCGGCCCGGTGGAGGCTCCCTGTAATCAAGGCCATAAGTCAGCCAGTGCAGCCTGCCAGCCCTGCCTGCCCGGCGCAGCACGCCGCCAGCCAGCCAGCCAGCCAGGCAGCCAGCAGGGCCGCGCGAGGCGGGGCCGTTTGGCCCGGACCCAGAAGGCGGTGACACGACTGTCCCTTCCCCCTCCCTGGCTCCTCCCTGGAATACAATCGTGCTAGGAATATTAACTGCTTTCTCCGCGGGGGTCCGAGGCTCAAGCAGCGAAGACCTGCCAGCCCACCGCCTACCCGGCCTACCACTTGGCCTACCACTTGGCTGCCGCTTGGCGAGGCCCCGCCCCGCCCCGCCCGGCCCGGGGGGCTGCGAGGCGGCTCGAGGTTTGCGGTGCACTTTACTACTTTACGGATCCCGGCGGTCGGGCTGCCGCTGCCGGCTGCCGCTGGCTGCCGGGGGGTTTGCAGTGTCTTAAGCAACACCATCGCCGCGCCGCGCCCTCTCCGACACATTGTGG